ACAACGAGGAAAGGATTCTCACACTAGTTTCAGAGTGAGCATGGCCCTACCAACAACTTGATTTTGAACTTCTAACCTCCAGAACTGTGAGACAATAAATTTCTGTTGTTTAAAGCCATCCAATTTGGTTACTTTCTTACTGCAGCTCTGGGAAACTAATACAACTGTTATCACAGCTACTACCTCTAATGCTGCTATGATTTGTCCTCATTTCCTTCCATTATAAATGTAAACAAGTTTCAATTAGAGATTAGTAAAAACATTCTGAATTCTAAGAACCCTATGTCTACAGCAATTTAATACCTTTGTCTAATATCCATTACTAATGAGGTAATGTTGTAACAAAAATAATGAACTATGTTTAAAGAAAAATAATCAATAGATTTTTTTGCCCATTTCAAACCATTCCGAGTGTCACAAAAATCTTGGGGATTTGTAATGCCTTTGGTTCTGAATTCTAAAACAAGATGCAGGTAGGACACGAAATTTTAATTATAAACAATGAACTAAATCTATTGAAAATGAAAAAGGTCATCATCTGTTTTAACTTCTTAAACCAATTAAATGTACAATCATCCCTTAGTGTTAGATCAATATGATTGGTATGAATGACCAAATGAAAAAACGTACTTTTGACATTTCTTGGCCAATGAATAAAGTATGAGGGTTTCTAATGTCAAGATACTCTTTTTAAAACTATGCAAGTTGGTGTTTAAACCCTATAACCTGGGCCTCCCTGGTGGCACAGCAGTTGAGCGCTGGGTTGCAAAGCTCCCCACGGCCTCTGCGGCGCCAGTTCATTCCCCGGCTGCTCCCTGGCCACCAGAGGAGGGTCCCACATGGCACGCAGACCTCTCCTGCCGCCCACTGCTCCCCTCGGCAGTGTACTTCGGTCCTTCTGCCTGCTCTGCTCCCCGCTCTGGCTCTGGTGAATTCTCTCACCCTCCCACGCTTCTGACTGTACCCAGTGCTTGTATAAACAAACAAACAAATAAATAAATAAATAAAACATGCCTCTATAAAAAAAAAGAAATAAACCCTATAACCTTTTGCTTGTTTATTCATAAGGCCATATTTATAAAAAAAAAAAGGCACTGCAAAATACATATTTCTCCATCCAACAACACATGGCTATTAAGCCCAAAATAAGACAAAAAAGTCCTAAAAAATTATGAATGTACCAATTTTTTCCAAATTTCCTAACTTGGTTACTAAAAACTAACTCATGCTCTTATTTCATCACCCAGCAGCTCTATACTGGAAGTCTTTCATTTGCTTAAATATGCCAACAATATGATAAAATTATTCAATGAATAAATATGCATGTTACAAATCTAAAAACCTGCACTGTATCTATTACTATTTCTCTAATAATACTGATACTAGAGTATTAGCAGAGGGCCTATGACAGTTCAAATTCCTTGATTTACAAAGGGCCAAACTGAAGCCTAGAACAGCTATCATTTGTCCAGTCTCCACATAAATCAGTGGCAGCCAGGATAGAAATGCACTCCCAATTCCAGTCCAATTATCTTGTACATTATACATGCATAGAAGTTGTTCAGAGTTAAACTACCTGCGAATAAATGCATTTTGTTTGACCACTTTTTCCAATTACAATATAGTTTTTAAAAAGTCCAGCTGCCCAAAAACAACATAGTGTTTTTCATCATTTAAAATCAATTTTATTTTACCATCCAATATATTTTTTAAAAATAGAAAAAAGATCTTATTTTCACCTTCAAATTTGGCAAAAAGAATTTCAAAGAGAGCTGGACAGACATTTCAAACATAAACACTCTTATGTACTACTACATGTGTAAAAGCATTTATCACAAAGCTGGGTACATAGTAAAAATCCATTAAATGAATAAATTCAAATCCAAAGGAAAAGAAAGGCATGTTTAGACTTGTTTTCTGAGGCAGAAATTCAAATATTTATTACTTATTCACTTTAAAGGCAATTTTGTATATTACTTGAAATAAATCATTATTCTGCATGAAGGGGACTTTTTAAAATTTCAATTCAACTAAAATAATTAACGATTCCTTTAATGCACTTCCAATTCCTAGTAAAGTTTGAAGAAGAAAAGCAAACTTCTACCAACCTTTGCCAAGATTGGCACTGCGTAAGACAAAGCCTTATACACAACATATTCTTCACTAAATCTTAATTAAATTTATACTATCAGCTTCTGAGAGGTAGCTATCTCTCAACACAATTCAAATTTCAAATAGTAAGACATGTTACTAGAGGATTTCAAAATGAGGCTTCTAAATGTCTTACAGGATTTTACCACAACAGCTATCTCGACAAGATTAAAATTTCCCAAGATATTGGAATTTTCACTTTTTTTAAGGTTGAAATGAGATGAAAAAACATTCAAATATTAAGAACAGTCTCTACTGCAATTAAATTGTGACTTTAAAAAAAGAGAAAAGAAGTAAGGAAAAAAATGTAAGGCCCAAATAAAATCCATATCACAGGGCAGTTTATTTCTTTTTTCTTTTAGATTTATTTATTTATGCATATAAGAACTGGGGTACAGGCCAGAGGTTTGGGGGGTGAGAGGACTCACCAGAGACAGAATGGGGAGCAGAACAAGCAGACTGACTGAAATACACTGCTGAGGGGAGCAGAGGGCAAGACAGGAGAGGTCTGCTGCGCCATGTGGGTTTCTCCCTGGCTGGCTGGGGATCAAACTTGTACCGCAGAGGCTGCGGATTGCTTCATAGTGTGGTGCTTAACCCCTTGCGCCACCAGGGAGGCCCTCATAGGGCAGTTTAAAATTATGCTAAAGCTTTCAGTGTGTCTATCATAATGCATCTCTTTTGTTTCTTCAAAATATGTACAGTTTAAATAATAAACTGCCATTTCAAAAGATTATATATTAAAGATGTATGAATTCCTCAAAAAAAAGCCACACTCCAAAGAAGTTCACTCTTTGTTTAGTTAATGCTAAGATTTCCAGATGAACACATCACTTTCTAATATAGGAGATCTTTTAAAGTAAAACCTTGTTTGTCCCCATGAAGAGTCAACACCTCATAGCAAAATATTATAGAGTATTATTCCTGTCCTACCAACAACACAAGAAAGTTCTTAAAGAAGAACATTAGTTAAATTAGATAAATTCGTGAAAACAGAATTCTGAAAGTCTGGGTGAGGTCGTTGCCCAGCAGTCCCATACTCAGTACATTAAATGTAAACTAGCAACTCTCTCAGTAAAAACTGGAGTTTCAAATATCAACATATTGGCATTAAAACACTGGAAATATTTATTCAATGTTAGTATAACTGCATGTACCATAGACTGATTATGATTAGCACGTTGCCAAAAACTTGCACTCTCATTCAGTAGCACAAGGAGAACCCATTTAGAAACAATATATTTTACACGAGGACCAGTTCACATTCCCCCTTATTTTGCATTCGTTGTAGCCACGGGGGAGATAGTCAAGCTTTAAATACGGTCGCGAATCCTTTCCCACCTCTAAAACAGAGCTGGACCTTCGGATCCAAGCTGCCTCCTGAACGCAGCCAGGCGCGGGCGGCCGGCAGCCCTTCCCGCACCCGGCGTCGAGGAGCGCGCGCTGTGAATGGCCGGCCAGGTATTTTATGAATGGAGGCGGTCACGTGATCCGGCACCTCCCGAGCCGATATTTCCCACAGACCCGTGTCAACACTGGGAACGGGGGCTGTGTGCGCGCCCGGCTCTGCCCGGAGCCTTAGCTCCGCGTCCCCCGACTTTCTGAACTTAAAAACCCACGCGAGGACGGGCGGTCAAGCGTGGGGTTTTTCCTGGGGAAACCCTCCCAAGACGTCCGAGGTGATGGATGTTTAATTATTTTTTATGAATGGAGCGTGCGCTATGCAAATGAGGGCGATTCACAAAAAGGGCGAGAACATGGCGGCCCGGCTGCCGCCGCTCCCCGCGCACCCGCGGCCGGCCTCTCCGGGACGGCCCCGGCGGCCCCCGCTCCCCGGCTCCGGCTCCGGCCTCAAGGTGCTCCCCGCAGAGGCGGCCGCCAGGCGCGCGCGGTCTGTACGCACAGGCCCGGCCCGACTCCCGGGCTCCCCGCGGCGGGGGCAGCGCGGCGCCGGGCGCGGGGCGAATCCCGTCTCCGCAGAAGCGGCACGGCCGGGATCCCCCGGGCGGCCTCGGGCTCAGCGATCTTTAAAGGGCAAAAGTGCCTCGTCCAGGAGCACGGACCGTGCCAGGAAACACTAACCTCTCCGGGCGCTCGGGGAGGCGGCGCACGCAGACCCCGCGGGCTCGGCGCAGCGACACCCCGAAGCCCGCGCGGACGCGCCGCGGGGCAGCGAGGGGAGCCGCGCCCGGCCGCCCCGCTCCCGTGGGAACAGCAGCGATCCCCGCCGAGGGGCACCCCGAGCGCAACACCATCCCCCCACTCGAGGCGTCCTCCGTCCTATTAAATCCTAAAACATGTTTTCCTGGCCGCCTTTTTTACAGAAATCTCACAGGTCATAAGTTTAAGGTGGGGGGGGGATTTAATCGGTATTAAGAGTCACTGACTCATCGGATTCAGACCCAGGAGCAGTCTGCTGCGCGGGGGGCTCCCACACACGGGTCTCCCCGAGACACCAGCCGCTCTGGAGACGCAGCTGGCTCTTCGGGGGGTGCTGCTGGCGTGCAAAAGTGCACAGGGCCGCCGAGGGGTCGCCAGCAGAGGGGTGCTGCCCGCCCCGCCTGCCCGCGTCCCCCTCAGCACATCTCAGCATATGCAACTGCCTGCCATGCACCCCAACACTCACCACCCGCACCCCAAGGAAAGCCGCTGGGAGCGGGGAGGGAAGCGGGCTCCGCATCAAATAACACAAAATGGCCCAGGGGCTCAAGGAAACCCAGCGTTACCCCAGAACCAGAGGCACCGACCCCGCCGGGGCCGCAAGCCCGCGGGCCCGAGTCCCGGGGGGCGCGGGGGGCGCGGGGGGCCCGGGGCGGGGGGCAGGGCGGACCCCAACCCGAGGCGCTTACTCGTTGTCAGCAGTCGCCGCGTCCTCGCTCATCTTTCCTCACGGGGCTCGGCTCTGGAGTTGGAGGCGCGACAGCGGGCGGAGCAGCGGCGCCGGGGGGCAGGCGGCGGCGGCGGCCGGGGGGGCGCGGGGGCAGCGGCGCGGGGGCCTCACCATGGTGGCCGCCGCGCTCGGAGCGGGGCCCCCCCAGCCGGGACCTGCGCCCACCCCCCCGCGGGGGGGGCGGCGCCCACCCCCAGCGTGGCGACCCCGCTCTCCCCGCCTCAGCGCCCGCGGGGGCCGCGCGCCGGTGCGGACGGAGGGCGCGGGTCCGGGCGGCGGCGGGCGGCGGGTCCGGCCGGGCAGGAGCGGGGGCGGGCGGGCGGCGGGCGGGCGGGCGCAGAGGCGGCGCTTCCCTCAGGGATGCGGCGGGGAGGAAGCGGCGCTGCGCTTGGCGGGGGCCTGCGGGGGGGCGCCGAGCCCGGGCTGCGGGCGGCGGCGGCGGCGGGGTCCTGCCCGGGCGCGCCCCACCATCTCCCGCCAGCCGCGCGCGGGCGGCCTGAGGAGCGGCGGGCGCGGGCCTGGCGGCGTCGGATTCCTCCGGGCGCGCTCGGCCGGCGGCCTCGGGGAGGGGGAGGGGCGCGCGCGGGGCCGCGGCCGGGGGGCGCGCGCGGGGCGACGGGGGCGCGACGAGAGCGGCCGCGGGTCGCGCCGGCCGGGGCCGCTGCTCACGCCCGCCCGGGGGAGCCGCGAGGGGCGGCGGAAGCGCTCACGCCCCCGCTCCTTCCGCCGCCGCCGCGGCCCAAGCCGGGGGCGCCGCGAGCAGCAGGCGAAGTAGTCCCTGGCGGCCGCTGCGGGCGCGGCTTCAGCGCGGCGGGCCCGGGCGGGCGCGGGGCGAGGCGGCCGGGCGGGCCGGCCGGGCGGGGCGGGCGGGCGGGCGAGCCGACTCGGAGCCGCGGCCTGCGGGCGAATCACTGCGACGCCGAGGCGCGCGCGGCATAGCAAGTTTCGGAAAGTAGTCCCCTCCCGCTGCTCCCGGCGCGCGGCGCGGCCGAGCGGGACGGAGGCGGCGGCGGAGGGATACGCGGCGCGGCTCGTGTGCGCGCGCGCGCTGCGAACTCCTGGCACGCTGCGCGGGGCGGGGGGGGTTGCGCGGGGGCGGGGGGTTCGCGCTACGCGGGGAGCTGCCGGGCCGGGCGTGGCGGCGGCGCTCTGCTCCCGTTACTCGCTCTGGGCTCTCCGGGTGGTTTGAACCCAGAGGCCAGAAGGCAGGGTGCACGGGGATGCGATGTGGGAGCTCCTCAGTTCTGCTGCGCGCGCGCGTGTGCATGTGTGTGTGTGCGCGCGGGCGTGCGTGTGTGTGTGTGCGCGCGCGTGTGTTCCTGTGCACAGCAAAGAATGGAACTAACATGAGTTCATCTTTACTTGGTGGGGGTGAGAGGGAGGGACTGTGCAAAGAGAGCTCCGCCTGCTGTCCCTCGGGTTGCATTGCTGCAGCCCCCAAGCTGCATGCACAGCGGGTGTGCGTGTGTATGTGTGTGTGTGTGTGTGTGTTAGAGAACTAGTTATAAGACCTCGGATTTTGGCTGCGCAAGGGGTATTCTGTGCTGTGCATTCACCTCCGAAAGCTTACAGCGGTTGTTAATGGAGAACGACTTCCATTGAAGCGCGGGGTAGGCGTGTTGCAGGAATCTGGCGCAGCCAGAAGCACAGGAAATAACTCCCGCTGCGAGGGGAGGTTGCATAACTATAGCGCAGAAGATGCCGCTGTGGCACGAGCTGCTCTGAACGGAGGCGGAACGGTTATTGAATAGGCAGCTGTCACGTTTGCATTGTTAGAGGACAATGTACGCTTTCAGCTCAAAAGGTTTGTGCACAGAGACCTGCTCGGGTTGAGCATTGCAGACTAGGAGCTGAGGAACCAGAGCACTCTCAGCTCCTAAGCTCTGCAAATTCTCTTATCTCTCCTCTACCTAGAAAAACAAACTCTGCATGATCTGGTTGGGACACAGTCCCAAGAGCTCCCAAGTTTCTGGCGATATCAGTCTAGCTCCGTGCCCAATGCTTTTCATTCTCAGATTTTTGCGAGCTAAGAATGAAGATTGCATCTTCTGCCACCTTGAGGGGTAAAACAATTCCCCAGGAAGGAAAAAAGGAGAAGAACCTCCCAAATAAATCAGCACTCCTCTTTTGTCACGCTTCTCCAGAAGATTTCAGGAGTACTGTTCTCAGGAGCGCATACTTTGACACCTGTGAACTGTTCTGCACAAAGCAGGCGCTTAATAAATGTTTGATGAGTTAATAAAGGTGCAAGACCAGTCTGTCCAGAAAACCATCCCGCTCATTTCTGAGGTTTCTCTTTGTAACTCCTGCTTCCTGTCTGGGCAGCAGCACTGCCCTTACTGGAGTGAGGGAGAAGCAATGTTGCACAGGAAGAGGTGAGGAGGTCTGCTGTAGTCACACCTTACCCCTGTTTCCGCTGAACCTGCGTCTTTTATCTTGTTCCTGTGAAGAACCTGGGAACATTGGTAGTGGCCTTCTCTCCTTCCAATACTACTGCTAAGCTCTTCATTGGTTAGACTGGAATCAAGTCCCATCACATAATTTGTGTGTTCAAGATGAGTTATTTGAATTTTGTGCCCATATAAAATGGGGGTCATAGTACCTGATTCATGGAGCTGCTGTACTGACGAGTGAGGTGATAATAATAAATAATAAAGCATTTAGAACAGCCTGATTTCAATAGATCTTAGCTTTTACTATGATTTTATAAAACAGAGTAGTAATCAACGCTGACTGTCACTGTGGCAGTTGCTCTGAAGATTTAATGTAAAGCATTCAGTATCCTTGTTCATTCATTCATCAAATACAGGTTTTCTTCTATGTACCACTCTAGCTTAGCTATCAGTGAAGGGTAGCTCTCAGAGAGATATTAAATAAGCACAAGCAAAGCTGGATCACTTGAAAAGGCCTGGTGCTTTTCAAGAAGATTTGACTCAGAGGTTCAAGTGCCTCGGGGAAATAATTATAAGCTCTGGGAGAATATATGATACCCGTGTTGTCTGTCATGTGCAAGGCACTGTGCTGGCCACTTTTTTACACAGATTGCTAAAGCAGCAAGATATTGCTAAAGCAGCAACCAGAAATGAGTTTCAAACTATTCTCAATCCCACAACCAAGGTCCAGACACCAAACCAATCATTGTCAGTGGTCTTCCTGTAACAGGGTGGTCCCCAGGAAAGGGGGAGGTTCCAGGTTCCCTGCCCCACCCAGATGGAGGGTGTAGCTGAGCAGGAAGAGAAGCTGCAGAGGAGACTGAGGAAGGAAGGAAGCAGGATGGAGATCCAGAAGGAGACCTGGAGGAGGCACATGGGGCCAAGAGACACGTGAAGAAACTGCGCTTGCCTTTTGGTCATGGACTGGGTGACACAGATGTGGGTGAGAGACCAGAGGGGAGGTGACAATGGCGGCTTTTATCTTGATTTTGATTTTGCTCTTTTCCTTCCAGGCTTGTCTGGTTGTTTCTGACCTTTTTTGTGGGTCCCCACTGGAAGATGCTTTAGACTTGTGGCAGGCTTTGGGGCCTTGCTCTGGGCCAATCCCATTTGGATGGAGTTTTACCCACAAGGAGACGGGTAACTTTGGGTGCTTGATTTAGAAACTATATTCTTTGCCTTTCCTGTATTGTTTCCTAATTTTATTAAAGTTCCTTCCCATTAAAGTCTCATATGTTTTGTGTTGATGCGTTGGATGGTAGAACCCATTTAGAATAGGCAGGTTTGCAGGGTTTGGATTGCCCCTCTCCCTGCCCTGTAACATTCCCCCATGCTATTTTGCTTTTTTTAACAGTACATTTAACAGTACATTTGTACATTTGTATTTAACAATATATTTGTACATTTTTTAACAGTACATGAGAGCGTGCACTTGTGGAAGTTATTACCAACTTAAAAAAAAATTATCTTGGCCTGTCCAGAACGCCAGTGAGTCTTCTGAAGTCATCAGAAGTGTTAGAGCTCAGGGGTCTTCTAGTCTGACTTTCTATTAGCAACTGCCTTAGACTCAAGAAGCCTTATCTGGATTATTCCAGTGTCTGGACTTTGAGGGGTACAAGAGATATCACAACCAAATGCAATGTATGTGCGCTTGGATTCTGGTTTGAGCAAATATTTTAAAATTTGAGATAATTGGGCAAATAGCACTAACTGAAGATTGGTGATAATAAGAAATTGTTTTAAGTTTTGATGTTGTATTTGTGTTTTAAGTCCTTATCTTTCAGAAATACATATTGAAATGTTTAAGGATGAAATGATAAGCTACCTGAGATTTGCTTCAAGGTAATCCAGTCGGGTAAACAGTAGGTAAGGATAGAGATGAAACAAAGTTAGTTATGGATTGATCATGAGTGCATTCTCTTTACCATTTTTTAAACAGTTGACCCATCAACGTGAGTTTCAACTTCCTTGATCCACTTATATTTGCATAGGATTCTATATTCACAGATTAAACCAACCTTGAATATGGGTTAATTGGATATGGGTTGGTTGGTTAATAACCTCATGTATATGAAGAGACATGTTATATTGGATTTTTGATTGCTTGGGGTCAGCCTTCTTACCTTCTCCCCACCCCACCCCCCCACCACACACACACATTACTCAAGGGTCAAGAATATATTTTTTAATATTTATTTATTTATGTACACAAGAACTGGAGTACAGGCCAGAGATGGGGGTGGGGCGGTGTGAGAGGATTCACCAGAGACAGAGTGGGGAACAGAACAGGCAGACTGACTGAAATACACTGCTGAGGGGAGCAGCGGACGAGACAGGAGAGGTCTGCTGCACCATGTGGGTCAGCTCCCCGGCTGGGTATTGAACTCACGCTGCAGTAGCTCTGGATAGCTTCATAGGTTGCATCTTAACCCCTAGCGCAACCAGGGAGGCCCAAGGGTCAAGAATATTTGAAATTTTCCAAAATGAAAAGTTTTTCTTAAGTACACTGCAGGTACTGCTCTAATGTAGATCACTAGGAGCCCATCCAGAGATTGCGATTAGCAGACTGGCAACTCTACTTTATCAGACTATGCCCTGTGCTTGGTCCTTCATGGTTCACAATTTTCTTCCTCTTTCCTTGCAACTATTAGGTTGTTGGAAAAGTCATGATATATTTTTCTTATGTTTTCTATGCAAAAATCCATCATGACTTTTCCGACATCCCAATATTTATGTTATCCTATATCCAAACACAATCTTAATTGAAACCTCTATTTCAGCAGGATACCAAAAATGGT